GCGACATGTTCAGTTCACGAGTCATTTTTCGGCCACTGCGACGCAGGTTTCGATCAAGTCGCTTCTTTACTTTTCGAACCATTTCTGCTGATGTTGCAGAAAGATTTATTCACATTTAAATGCTGGAGTGCTCTAACGATAGCCACTTGTGGTTTTCCAGCCAAATATAAAGAAATCACCTTATCACGCTTGAATTCCATCACGAATAATTTTTTTTCTGGAAAATTTTAACCAAAAGGCTTTTGTAAGCTTGTAAACAATATAATGAGCTGTCACTGGAATAATTTTAACAGCTGTCGGACGAGTGGCTTAGAAATGACAGCAGTCTGAAATTGGTTGCAGTTTTTTTTTATCTCACCCTGTATAACAGATCCTGTTTTGATAGAAATATTTAGATGTGCCAAGTTTAAATGGAATCGGATGAGCGTTTTATGAGCTTAATGGATAATTTGCAAATATTAGGATTTGCAAAGTTCGAGAAAATTTGGATTATCCTTTCTCTTTCTGTGCAGTAAAATATTTGTTTTTAACATTTCTACCTTTTGTGGGAGTGATACCGGAATGAGTGGACCGATATTGCTCATCTCCGAACTCATTCTAAGTTTGACAATAATATTACGATGTACCAAGTTTGGACCAAATCGGATACTCCCTTCGAGGGTTATCGTGCGACTCCAAATGTCCTGAAATGAATTTGCTCCAAAGAGATCTAAATTCTAAAACCGTTATTTCGATATATCAAATGAATAGAAAGGAATACAAACTAGCAATTCTGTAATTTTCCTGAAGTGAGTAAACTTTTTTGACATTCTTGGGGATATGGGTGACGGAGATGAGAGCCGGTACAACGTTTTTTTACCAGTTTCTGAGAAATATTTTATTCCAATACGCATATATATTATTATAGATAACGAATATTGTGTTGATCAGAGAACTACTATAAGTGTTGAATAATGTTAGCTAATAAACCTTCCTATTTTATTGTTATTAAGCTCCATTCAACCGGCGATGCAATAATGTATTGACATTATTTTCATCAAATAAACTTTTTTAAATAATTATATTTTTTATGATTCTGTTTGAATTCCTGTTGTTCTGTTGTGGCTGGGTGATTGATTTGTAAAATGATTTTCAGATAATTGTTTTTTTTTTTCTCATTTTTATTTCGGAGTATATAAAAAAGTTTCCTGGAAATTTAAAAACACAAAATACACATTTTTATATTCTTGAGTGCTAACATACCAAACAAAGAAATGATATAACAAAGAACAGATGACGGCAGATCATTTATCCCATTGACCTATTTACTATATTATAGGAGATTTATTTTTTCATTTTATTTTTTATACTCTATATTGATCATGCTCGAATACAGTATTTTGAATTTATAAGGAATAAAGAGTATATTTTGGAAGAAAATTTTACAATATAAAGTTTTTTTTTCTGCAAAAAAAATCTTATAAGATCTGGATAGGAAAATATAATTATCCGAAAAGAAGTGGGCTTATAAATTCATCTATTTGACAATGGTTTGAAATGTGTGTGTTCGGCCCGGCCGAACTTAGCTGCTTTTTATACCCTACACCACAAGGTGGTCAGGGTATTAAGGAAACGAGATAGACCCATAGTTCCTTTTGATGATCTGCATACAATCACATTCTAAGTCGTCCGTCTGTCCATGTATTTTTGTAAACAAAGTGCAGTTCGCATTTATTGCCCTATCCAGATGAAATTTTGCGCAAATCATTTGTTTGGTCCAAGGACTAAACCTATTGAAAATGGAGATAATCGGTGAAAATTTAAATACAGCTCCCATATATATCTTCGTCCGATTTGCTTTTTATTGTGCACCAAACGTGTAATATCAGTCCGAATAGTAGTATTCTTCAAAATAAGTATGCCAAATTTGATCGAAATCGGTTCAGATATAGCTATAGCTCCCATATGTATTGTTCATCCGATTTGTTATTTTTGTCCTCCGCAGCCGTAATATGCACTCTGTAACAACCATATTTGGGGAAATATATCAAATACAGCTCAGAAATACACTTGCTAAATTTTATCGAGATCGGTTCAGATTTGGATATAGCTCCCATACTTCTTCGTCCGATTACCTTGGATTGTGCACCAAACGTCTAATATTTGCCCAAATTGGATGAAATTTGGCACTTACGACCGAATTGAGTTTGTCAAATTTGGTGAAGATCGGTTCAGATATAGCTATAGCTCCCATATATACTATTCATCCGATTTGTCATATTTGTTACCCACAGCCGTAATATGCACTCCGTAACAACGATATTCAGGGAAATATATCAAATACAGCTCAGAAATATCTTTGCCAAATTTTATCGAGGTCGGTTCCGATTTGGATATAGCTCCCATATATATTTTTATCCGATTTCAAATTAATTGTGCACCAAAGGGACAATACAAGTCCGAATAGGTAGGGTAGGGTATCATAAAGTCGGCCCCGCCCGACTTTAAGACTTTCTTTACTGTTTTTTTTTTTTGTTTTGTAGAAAAATAATTTCCTGAGAGAACTTCTAATATCCTCCACCATTGGGTAAAGAACATATTTGTATGCAAAATTATCTAGATTTAAATATTTTCCAGGTTAAAGTACAATTTTCCGAATGATCGGTAGGAGAATCGTTGGAGCCGTTATAGGGGGGCCATACTAAAACGGCAGCCTATATAGACAATTTTATACTACTACGATTGTAATCCATTGCGAGCCTTAAATACCAAATTTTTGATAATTTCGTGGGTAAATTTGACTAAGTTGTAGAACCCATTATAAAGTACAAATACCAAATTGCACATAAATCAAATAAAAAATGTGGCTTAAATCGTAAAAATACTAAATATCCGATGAAACCGTTTTTGTGAATGTGGACATAGATATTCAATATCCGAAGCTAAAACCCATTACGAACTACAAATAATAATTTGGACCTATATGTACAATGTTCCACCACTAGAGCTAGAACCTATAACGAATTACAAGTTCCAGTTTTTAGACATATTGGTGGAAATGTGTGGCTAAAACTATCAAAATACCGAATATCGGGAGGTACCATTATATGGTTGCTATTCAAAAAACGTGGGCCGATATATCTCATTTTCAATATAAACCATCCTAGACACAATATAAATTGTTCTGCCAAATTTTTAAGCTCTACGTCAAATAATGTGAGCTACATCGTGATTTCAACAGACAGACGGCAATCGATTTAGAATATCATGCTGATTATGAATACAGGGTGAGATAAAAAATCTGCAAAAAAGTATAACTCTATAATTTTTACATATTTTTTAAATTTTATTGAATGAAAGCAAAAAATGTATATATGCAGGGTGAGAAGAAACAAATGCAACCAACTTCAGACTGTTGTCATTTCTAAGCCACTCGTCCGACAGCTGTTAAAATTATTCCAGTGACCGCTCATTATATTGTTTACAAGTGTACAAAAGCATTTTGATGTGAATTTTCCAGAAAAAAAGTTATTCGTGATGGAATTCAAGCGTGATAGGGTGATTTCTCTATATTTGGCTGGAAAACCACAAGTGGATATAGTTAGAGCACTCCAGCATTTAAATGTGAATAAATCTCTTGTCTCGTTCTATCGCTCGTTACCGTGAAACTGGTAGCGTAGCCCGATGCCATGGAAGTGCACGGAAGAAAACAGCAACATCAGCAGAAATGGTTTGAAAAGTAAAAAATCGACTTGATCGAAGCCCGCGTCTCAGTGGCCGAAAAATCACTCACGAGCTGAACATATCGCAATATTCCATTCGGCAAATATTGAAAAGTGAGCTCGGGGTAAAGCCATTGAAATTCCAAAAAGTGCAAGAACTTACACCGTGACTGAAAGAAAATAGACTCAAAAGATCTAAAGAGTTGCTTCGCTTGGCCGGAAGTGGTGAACTGAAGAATTTGGTTTTCTCCGATGAGAAAACATTCATTGTCCAGAAGTTTGTAAACAAACAAAATTATCGTGTTTACTTGCCAGAGAGGTCAGCTGAAAATGTGCACCTTCGGTTAGCCACCGGAACTCATGCGCCGGCCATGGTGGTGGTGTGAGCCTCTACACCATCCAGCCGATGGTCGCTCTCCGCTCTTGTATTAATCGACCGTGGCATTAGAATAAATGCCGAATATTATCGCGAAAATATTCTGGAGGGTGTATTAAAGCCTTGGGCACACATACGTTTTGGCCGCAGACCTTGGACTTTGCAACAGGACCTTGGACTTTCCAACAGCACGGTTACAAATGGTTACAAAATGAGGTTCCTCGCTTCATTTCCAGTGCACAATGGCCACAAAAATCTCCGGATACCAATCCGTTGGACTATTGTGTCTGGAGTATTTTGGAAAGCAAGGTTGGTACTAAAAAATACCAAAGTGTCGATCACCACAATCAAGCACTTCGTCGGAAATGGACGAAAATACCGCAGAGCAACATTCGGGCATTGTGTGACAGTTTCATTGGCCGTTTGAAGGCCATAATTCGTGCCAAAGGTGAACAATTCGAACACATCTAAACTTAATCTAACATTTGATGCTATTTCCGACATTTTTTGCTTTCGTTCAATAGAATTAAAAAAAAAAAATAAATAAATAAAAATTATGGCGTGTGACTTTCTTTCAGTTTTTTTTATCTCACCCTGTATGTGGGATCTATATCCTAATCTGTTCGGACCTCAATAAAATTTGACAGAGGTATTTTTGTGCTCCATAAGTTATCTGGTATCAAATATCGCTCTTGTGGGAATTAAACCCCAAAATCGGAAATAAAAAAAAATTTCAACAGGGTACGTCCTTGGCCCAAACCATCCGGGGTCAATATTTAAATAATCATTACGCAGGGTTTACATCTGCCGGCAAATACGGCTGATACTTTTTAACTTGTTTTAATTCAATTATTTATTTATAGTTTGTATTTAATTTTTTGAATGAATATTCAAAATATTAAACAAATTTTTATTACTTTCAGACTCTCACCACTTTCGATCTCAAAACAGAAGAAAAACATGGCATCATCTAGGGAAATTGTTTGACGACCACTGAACTGATTTCAGTTCATCAAAGCAAAATTGTGATATTTCAATTGGCGCCCAATCAAATCAATCTTAAAAATAATTACTAAAATCTACAATAAATTACCAGACTGGCTGCAAGTAAAACTGGGCCTTCAAACAAAGTGTCTTGAAAACCATCCATCGAAACCACATTTCACTCTCAACCCATCTCAACGCACAACCATGGATTTCGATCAAATCTTGGCTAAATGTGGCGATTTCAATCGCTATCAACTGCTTATTTTGACTCTTTTTGGAGTCGTCAATGTCATTGTATCAATGCACTATTTTACCCAGACTGTGATAAGTTTTGTACCGGACCATTGGTGCTATCATGAAAAATTGGAAAATAAAACGTACGATGAAATAGCGGCGATTTATGCGAAATTTCCAAATCCATCGTGTACCAAGTTGGCGGATATCAATGGTATGAACGCGACGGCCAGTACGGAGAAATGTGAACGATGGATATATAAATATGATTTCGGATATCACAGCATGAATACAGAGGTGAGTGGGATTTGAAATTTTAATTTTGAAAAAGGTAAACATTTTTTTCTGTACTTTTAGTTAAACTGGGTCTGTGAGTCATCGTACAAGGCCCGCATTGGCCAGTCCCTGTTCTTTATTGGTTCGGTTGTGGGTACCCTGTTATATGGTTTACTTTCGGATAAAATTGGTCGCCTGCCTGCCTTGATTTTATCCAATCTCTCGGGTTTCATTGGGGATTTTTCCACCATCTTTACCACCAGTGTTACCACCTTTACATTATGCCGTTTTATTTCGGGCCTGGCAGCTGATACAAATTTCTATCTGATGTATATTATAGGTAAGTCTTGAAACCTTCGCAAAATTATTGAAGACTTCTAATCTCCCCTCTTTCTTTGTAGTCCTCGAATACCTACGTCCCTCCATGCGCACATTTGGCCTCAACATAGCCGTGGGGGTGTTCTATACCCTGGGCCTGGTATTCACACCTTGGCTGGCAGTCTTGGCCGGCCATTGGCAATACTATTTGGCCAGCACTTCCATACCCATCTTGTCCATTGTCTTCTATTATTTCATAATCCAAGAAAGTGCCCAGTGGCTGGTCACCCGCAATGACATCGATGGTGCCATTAAGAGACTGAAACGTGTTGCCAGATTTAATGGTCGTAAAGTTAGTCTAACCGAATTTGAGGAGTTCCGTAAATATTGTGAAAAACAACATCAGAAACAGGGTGGTGATGATCAGAAGCATTCGAATTTGATTGATATGTTCCGCACACCGAGAATGCGGAAACATACGTTGATCTTGTTCTTCAAATCGTAAGTATTGTCAACAAATATCATTGGAATCTTAGGCCAGATTTTCTAATTTTTACTCGGGAGCGAAACTGGCTCGCGAGCGTGATAGCTTGAAGAGTCGGAGTTTTCTTACGGAGTTTACTCTTCACACTTTCTTTATCGAAAGTGAAGGGTGATAACTGTCTTCAGGGAGTACATAGGGAGAGCATCTAGAAATCGAATGAAGACGAAGAAATTAAGTCTAACAACCTGTCTTTAACATTTAACACATGGTTTACTTGGTACAGACAAAGCTCAAATATCTTATCCCAAAAGTTATCAAAACCTGTTGGGTAATTCAGAGGTATGTAATCTAGAATATTGTCACCTGAGGTCCAAGACACCCAAGGAAGGTTAAAATCCCCTAAACAAATTAATGCAGAATTATCTGTAAGCAACGAAGACACCTTTGCAAATAAATCTGCATGGTTAAGATAAATTTCAAGTTCAGAATTAGGTGAAATATATGAACAAGTTAAGAAAATAGTATTACCAATGATATTTAATTTTGCGCAGATAAATTCGATATTAGGATCCGCTGAGACATCAATCATTTCTGAAGGAATCGAGTTATGAACTGCTACTAGAACTCCACCACCTTTTTTCGATAATCTATCTTTTCTGTAGACTTGATAATTCGTAATCAGAGAATAACTCAGTGTCCAGGAAATCAGGTTTTAACCACGTTTCAGTGAAAGCAATTATTTTATATTCAGAAAATAAACTTTTAAGGAAAGCATCTCTAAGCGTAGTGTTTAATCCTCTTACATTTTGATAAAGAATCGGACAGACGTCGTTTAGTTTTTTGGCGCAGTTACGATGTTTCTTGTACAGAAAAATACTAAGAAACTAAGAAATACTAAGAAACTCATATTCGACCGTCATCGAAAAATTGTGTTTCTCTGCTCTCAGGAGAGCACTTGCTCGAATTCGAGTTAGTTTCACTCTTTGTACAAATTTTACCGACTTTTTCGAAGGTCTGGATAGAATATGGACACCACATTTTGAAGTCAGAGAACTGACAGTGGCTAGTGATCAGACCAAAGCTCAGATTGGCTGGATTTTATTCAAGAGTGAAAAATATTCGCGATCGGAGTACTCGAAAAATACGAATTTTCCCAGAAGATTACTTTTGACTCTCTATTTTTTATGTGGGAACGCTCATGAGTACTTCTGTCTGAAAAATTGGAATAGGAGTGAAAATGTATGAAATAGAGTAGAGTAAAATTGGAATAGGAGTGAAAATGTATGAAATAGAGTAAAATTTTAGAGTAAAATTTTAGAGTAAAATTGAGTGGAAAAAACCAACGGCTTTTAACGGAAAAAGCATATTCGCTCTTTTTTAATCACGAGCAAAATATATTCGAGACTGGGAGTGTTGAGAGCGTGCAAGTATTGTCAGAAGTTTACTCTTCAGCCTTTTGTTTTCTGTGGGAGCAGTCACGAGTACTTCTTATAAGAATAGGAATCAAAATGTTCGAAAGAGAGTAAGAGTTTACTCTAATGGTTAAATTTAGTGGAAAAATAAAACAACGGTTTGAAAATGCTCTAAAAGTACTTGGCAATAGTAAAAGCTCTTCAATTTCGATGAAATTTTAATCCAACTCATGAGTATATTCGCTCTTTTTTACTCACGAGCAAAAAATATTCGAGAGTGGGAGTACTCGGACAGTACAAATTTTGCCAGAAGTCTAGTTTTCACTCTTTTGTCTTATGTGGGAGCTGTCACGAGTACTTCCGCTTGTAAAATAAAAATAGGAGTCAAAATGTTCGAAAAAGAGTAAGAGTTTACTCTAAGGGCGAATCGAGTGGAAAAAATAATACAACGGCATGACAAAACTCAAAGAGTACTCGCCCAGAGTTAAAGCAGTTCAATTTCTACAAATTTCAATCCAACTCATAAAGATCTATTCATTTTCGTTCTTATTTACTCACGGGCAAAAAATATTCGCGAGTGGAAGTACTCGAATAGTACGAGTTTTGCCAGAAATATACTTTTCACTTTTTTCTTTTATGTGGGAGCGTTTGCGAGTACTTTTTTTTTAAATAAGAATAGGAATCAAACTGTTCGAAATAGAGTAAGAGTTTATTCTAAATTGAGTAGAAAAAATAATACAACGGCATGACAGAACTCAAGGAGTACTCGCCAAGAGTAAAAGCAGTCCAATTTCAACAAATTTCAATCCAACTCAAATCGATCTATGCATTTTCGCTCTTATTTACTCACGAGTGAAAAATATTCGAAAGTCGGAGTACAAGAAGTATACTTTGCACTCTTTTGTTTTATGTGCGAGAGCTCCTGAGCACTTCTGTCTGAAAAATTGGAATAGGAGTCAAAATGATTGAAATAGGATAAGAGTTTACTCTAAGGGTAAAATTAAGTGGAAAAAATAAAACGACGGTGTGACAAGTTTCAAAGAATAAAAAAAGGTCAATGCTAATCGTACTCATAACGATCTAAGCATACTCGCTCTTATTCGAGTAACAGAGAAAAATATAGTATATTCAAGTTTCTTTTTATACCCTCCACCATACTATGGAGGGTATATTAACTTTGTCATTCCGTTTGTAACTCCTCGAAATACTCATATCAGACCCAACAAAGTATATATATTCTTGATCAGCGTAAAATTCTAAGTCGATTTAGCGATGTCCGTCTGTCTGTCTGTCTGTCCGTCTGTCTGTCCGTCTGTCTGTCTGTCTGTCTGTTGTAATCACGCTATCTTTCGAATGAATTGAGATAGATGGCTAAAATTTTGCACACATGTTTATTTTTCCAGTAGGCAGGTTAAGTTCGTAAATGGGCCATGTAGGTCCATGTTTTCATATAGCCCCCATATAACGGTACCTCCCTATATTCGGTATTTTGATGATTTTAGCGACATTATTCACGGGAATTGCTTCAAATTTGGCATTTGAAGTTCAAAATGGATACTACACCATAAGACGGAAAATTGTCTGTGCAGGTCCACGTCTTCGTATAGCCCCCATATAACGGTACCTCCCGATATTCGGTATTTTGATGATTTTAGCGACATTATTCACGGGAATTGTTTCAAATTTGGTATTTGAAGTTCAAAATGGATACTACACCCTAAGACAGAAAATTTTCTGTGCAGGTCCACGTCTTCATATAGCCCCCATAAAACGGTACCTCCCTATATTCGGTATTTTGATGATTTTAGCAACATTATTCACCGGAATTGTTTCAAAATTGGTATTTGAAGTTCGTTATGGGAACTACAGTCTGTGACAGAAATTTGTCTGTGCGGGTCCAGGTCTTCGTATAGGCCCCATATATCAGAACCTCCCTATATTCGGTATTTTGACGATTTTAGGTACAATACCCACCGAAATTGTTTGAGATGTGGTATTTGAAGTTCGTAATGGTTGCTACCGCCTGTTACAAAAAATTGTCTATGCTGGTCCAGGTCTTCGCACAGCTCCAATTTAACGGCACCTCCTTATATACGATATTTTGATGATTTTAGCTACATTATTCACTGTTTATTTCAAGTTTCGAATTTGAATATGGTAATGGCTTATGACAAACAATGCCTATGTATGTCCACGTCGTATAGACCCCAATATAACGGCTATATTCGGTATTTTTAAAATTTTAAAAGAATTTTTTAAGGACTTTATTTTTTAAAAATTCCCAAATTCGTTGCAAATGGTGGAGGGTATTAAAAGTTCGGCCCGGCCGAACTTACTGCTTTTTAACTTGTTTACTCTCAGGGGTACTTCCTCGCAAATTGTAGAGAGTTTCACTCTCTCCTCGAACTCGCGTGAGCATTTCGAAGCTTTAGATCGTACCCACTACAAATCTTATCTCTAACTTATTTTATGAGAGTAGAAAGCTAGTTCTACTTCGGAATAGGTTTCGGACAGATGTCTTTTTGTCATCTGCGTTTTGTCATCTCGAGATAGGTTTCTGTACCTAAATTTAAATAACCCCTTTCTTCTTCCTTTCAGGATGGTCATAACCCTGTGCTATGACGTTGTCTCCCGCAATGTGGAGGGTATGGGTATCTCACCATTCATTATGTTCTCACTGAGTGCTTTGGTCGTCTTGCCGTCCAGTTTAATGTTGGTCCTGCTGCAAGATCGTATCGGTCGTAAGGGTATGGCTTCGGGATCCCTTTTGGTTGGTGGATTTTTCACTGTAGCTGCTGGTATAGCTATAGCCTATCAAAAACAAAATCACAATGCCATATTACTGGCTTGCCTGACGATAGCCGCCCGTTTTGGTGTTGCCATATCGTATGAATCGGGATCACAATATGCCACGGAATTGATACCAACATGTGTGCGAGGTCAAGGTGTGGCAGCGGTACATGTGGCAGGATTTGCGGCATCATTTTTGGCGCCCTATATCTTGTGGTTGGGTACATTCTTTAAGGCAGCGCCATCTATGATTTTGGGAGTGCTGTTCTTTGCCGGTTCGCTGGTGTGTTTGATGTTGCCAGAAACCTTGAATAAGTAAGTTTTACTTTGGAATTGGATGATTTTGTTTGAATTTTATTCATTTGTGTTTTCTTTTTCTTTTAGAACCTTACCCAAAACCCTGGAGGAGGGTGAGGTATTTGGCAAGGGTGAGAGCATGTTCGATTTCCCCTGTCTGTCGAAAAATAAATCCGCCGAAGATTCAGATTCGGAAATGGAGCCATATAGCAAGCGCAAAGAGTCCCTGACGGCTGGCCTGGAACATGGCAATGGCACAGTGCATCCCCTGCGCCAGGACCTAATGGACGATAATAGCAACAGCTGTACATAAGTGTAGAAATTCAAAACACCCACACCACAAACTTCCATTTTTCATTCATCTCTGATAAATTTTGATAAGAATAAGTATTTTTTATAACCTCTAAAAAACAAACAAACAAGAAAATTTAATTCAACTAGGCTCTAGTATCCTTAAGGACTATGAACAAAGTATGCCTTTACTATATATTCGGAAAAATTACTTAAACAAAATAATTCAACATTTTTTCTACTTAATATTAGTCTTAGAATTCCAAACGTAATTAAATACAAAAATTATAAATAATTACATTTAATTAAATAATTAATATAAAAATAATAAATTAAGTAATTAAGGACTAAGGTTTGAACCTTGTTTAGGGATCTATGCGACACAAAATGTCAACTTATCACAAAAATCAATTTTTTTAGTTTTAAGAATAATACATTTTGTGTTTAAAATCTACAGTGGGCTATGGATGTGACGAACGAACTGTAATACATAAAAATAGTAAGTTGAAATATCAAATGTGGAGGAATCTCCAAAATTGTACGTTTACACATCGAAATCTAACCTCCCATCGAATTCGCCATAACCCAGGCCCACTGTATTAAGTATTTTTTTTTTTATTATTTTTGTACCTAATTTTTTCAACCACTTTTTGTTGATATTTTCTTTATTTAGTGTAAATATATTTCAATATTTTTATATAAAATTTAAACAATATTTAGACTTTAGATATATGTCTAAGAATATTATTTTCTGTATTTTTTTTTAAATTTAATTATTATAAAGTTTTAGAAATATTATTTAATATAAATATACAATTTATGAAAAAAAAATATTAAAAATTGTTTTGATTCCAAAAATTGTAGATTAGCTGAAGACCGTCTATAAAGACAACCACTATAAAGACAGCCTCCGGGTTGTCTATGAAGTCGACTATAAAGACAGCCTCCAGGTCGTCTATAAAGACGGTCCTCCAGGTCGTCCATAAAGTCGGCCGTCCAGGTCGTCCATAAAGACGGCCCTCCAGGTCGTCTATAAAGACGGCCCTCCAGGTCGTCTATAAAGACGGCCTCCAGGTCGTCTATAAAGACAACATCCACGTTGGCTATAAATACAGCCTCCATGTCGTCTATAAAGACAGTCTTCAGATCGCCCATAAAAATGGTTTCCAGCTCGACTATGGCCCACCAGCTGTTCTATGACGACTCACTGATCACCCAGCTGATCTATAAAGACGGCATCCAGCTGGTCTATAGAGACTCTGTGGCCCACCCAGCTCGTCGTCTATAGAGACTCACTGGCCCACCCAGCTTGTCGTCTATAGAGACTAACTGACCCATCCAGCTCGTCTATAGAGACTCACTGACCCATCCAGCTCGTCGTCTATAGAGTCTCACTGACCCATCCAGCTCGTCGTCTATAGAGTCTCACTGGCCCATCAAGCTCGTCGTCTATAGAGACTCACTGGCCCACCCAGCTCGTCGTCTATAGAGACTCACTGGCCCACCCAGCTCGTCTATAGAGACTCTCTGGCCCACCAGCTCGTCTATAGAGACTCTCTGGCCCACCAGCTCGTCTATAGAGACTCTCTGGCCCACCAGCTCGTCTATAGAGACTCTCTGGTCCACCAGCTCGTCTATAGAGACTCACTGGCCCACCCAGCTCGTCTATAACGACTCACTGGCCCTCCAGTGAGTCACTACTGGCCTTCCAGCAGCTCGTCTATAGAGACTCCCTGTCCCGCCAGCCTATAGAGATTCCCGGGCCCTCCAGCTCGTCTATAGCATCTCACTGGCCCTCCAGCTCGTCTATAGCGACTCACTGGCCCTCCAGCTCGTCTATAGCGACTCACTGGCCCTCCAGCTCGTCTATTGCGACTCACTGGCCCTCCAGCTCGTCTATTGCGACTCACTGGCCCTCCAGTGAGTCACTACTGGCCTTCCAGCAGCTCGTCTATAGAGACTCCCTGTCCCGCCAGCCTATAGAGATTCCCGGGCCCTCCAGCTCGTCTATAGCATCTCACTGGCCCTCCAGCTCGTCTATAGCGACTCACTGGCCCTCCAGCTCGTCTATAGCGACTCACTGGCCCTCCAGCTCGTCTATAGCGACTCACTGGCCCTCCAGCTCGTCTATAGCATCTCACTGGCCCTCCAGCTCGTCTATAGCATCTCACTGGCCCTCCAGCTCGTCTATAGCGACTCCCTGGCCCTCCAGCTCGTCTATAGCGACTCACTGGCCCTCCAGCTCGTCTATAGCGACTCACTGGCCCTCCAGCTCGTCTATAGCGACTCCCTGGCCCTCCAGCTCGTCTATAGCGACTCCCTGGCCCTCCAGCTCGTCTATAGCGACTCACTGGCCCACCCAGCTCGTCTATAGAGACTCACTGGCCCACCCAGCTCGTCGTCTATAGAGACTCACTGGCCCACCCAGCTCGTCGTCTATAGAGACTCACTGGCCCACCCAGCTCGTCATCTATAGAGACTCACTGGCCCACCCAGCTTGTCGTCTATAGAGACTCACTGGCCCACCCAGCTCGTCGTCTATAAAGACTCACTGGCCCACCCAGCTCGTCTATAGAGACTCTCTGGCCCACCAGCTCGTCTATAGAAAATCTCTGGCCCACCAGCTCGTCCATAGAGACTCTCTGGCCCACCAGCTCGTCCATAGAGACTCTCTGGCCCACCAGCTCGTCTATAGAGACTCCCTGGCCCACCAGCTCGTCTATAGAGACTCTCTGGCCCACCAGCTCGTCGTCTATAGAGACTCTCTGGCCCACCCAGCTCGTCGTCTATAGAGACTCTCTGGCCCACCCAGCTCGTCGTCTATAGAGACTCCTGGGCCCACCAGCTCGTCTATAGAGACTCCCTGGCCCTCCAGCTCGTCTATAGAGACTCCTGGGACCACCAGCTCGTCTATAGAGACTCCTGGGCCCACCAGCTCGTCTATAGAGACTCCTGGGCCCACCAGCTCGTCTATAGAGACTCACTGGCCCACCAGCTCGTCTATAGAGACTCACTGGCCCACCAGCTCGTCTATAGAGACTCTCTGGCCCACCAGCTCGTCTATAGAGACTCTCTGGCCCACCAGCTCGTCTATAGAGACTCTCTGGCCCACCAGCTCGTCTATAGAGACTCTCTGTCCCTCCACTTCGTCTATTGAGACTCACTTGCCACCAGTTGTCCATAGAGACTCCCTGACCTTCTATAAATGCTTCCTCCCCTTTTCCTATAGATACAACAAAATTCAATATTTATTTAAATAATTTTTGTATTTTACTTAATTTAATAATTTTCCTAAACTCTATAAAAATTATTCCTATAAAACTGTAATTAATTACAGACGAGTATTTTGTTTCTCGTCGCTGTCTTCTGTTTTGCCCTGGCCCCTGCTGCCGCAACATGGGAAGAAATACCATTTCTCTCCTTTGCCAAAGACTTCACCATCACTGAGGGTATCTGGCAGTTTTCTGTAATAACAACAACAAAAACAAAATTAAGATTTACAAAAACAACAAAAAACATTATTACATACTTATTTAATGTCTCCGGTAAAAATAGGCACAGCACCGACCCGGCCAACATAATTATGCTAATGAAAATCGATGGCAACGGCCGATAGAAATTGGCCAGATAGAGAACATAGGCATTGAGGAAACTACAAGCATAACCAATGACATGTATATTGGCCACACCACGTCCTCGAACACTGGTCGGTATAATCTCCGTACAATATTGGGCTTCAGCATCATAGGCCACAACGGCACCATAACGTCCCAAACCCACCATAATAGCCAGCAAAGTGGCATTGACTTTTGGATCCAAAAATGCCACCAAGAAACCGGTAATGGCGGTGATGATACCACCCAACAGCAAGGATATGCTGGCCATACCCTTACGGCCAATTATATTTTGGAATGCTATGATGGTAAGGCCTCCAGGAATATAACACGCTGAGGTATAGGAGAATAGTTTCAGGGGTTCCGAACCCAAGCCTTCCATATTACGGGAAATTATATCGAAGGACATTGTTATGATGACGCTGGAAGAGAACAAATTGTATCGCAATGTAGTATAAATTAACAACAAGCAAGGGCGTCTATAAATAGAGGACCTGAAGCCCAGGCAACCAGGTTGTCTATATTGACGTCCTGAAGGCCAGCCAACTAGTTCGTCTATATATAGACCATTTAAAGGATAGGCTATATCTTTAGTTAGTTTGAGTCCAAATCAAGAAATCTCCAACTTACCTCTTTATCAGCAAAATTATGGTAAATTTCCTCAGCCGAGGTGTCTTGAACATTCCCCAAAAGGTGTCATTGTTTTTGATCTTCTTCTCTTCCATTTCGATTTTTTGCTTATAATAATCGACAAACTCTTCGAAAACACTCTCCTCCACATGGCGTCCATTGAATTTTGCCACCCATTTCAGGCATTTTACAGCACGATCGTATTTCTTACGAGTCAACAGCCAATTGGCACTTTCACAGGTCAGCAAAGGATAAATAAATACCAGAAGGACAGGAGTCGAGGCAACCAGCAGATATTTTCGCCACGTATGCACCCACATGGCACACCAGGGTGATATCATCAAACCCGCACAATAGAAAATGGCTGGGGTGATATTTAAACCAAATGTACGCTTCTTGGGATTCAAGTACTCAAAGGCTAAAAATGAAAAAAAAAGAAATTTGAATTCAAAACTCGACCATTTAATGAGGTTCTGTTCGAATATTTTTGATTGTTTTTTACTCACCCAAAATATACATTAAAACATAAAAAGTGTCCGTCGACAGACCGGATATGAATCGGCACAGTGAAAACATCGGCACTGACTTAACGAAAGAGGTCAGAAAATCGCCAATACCCCCGGATAAGGTACTTAGAATTATGGCTGGTAATCGACCAATTTTATCGGCCAAAAATCCGAATGTGATGGTGCCAACAACAGCGCCAATATAGTAAAATGATTGTCCAACAGCATTATTGAAAGCCTGGTCACAAACCCAATTTAGCTGAAAAGAAAACCAGGCATGTTGGTTATTGTCAAAAATTGAAGCATACTTTTAGGCGTAATAAAATAATGTGCTCAAATGAGTAACATTTATAAAATAGTGGGTTAATGTACGAATAAAACAGTTCGTAAAAAGGCCATCCGAATTCTAATCGCCAAGAAAAGGGGGATATTTGTGGTGGAAGTTTTCAATAATCTTTAAGATGATTAACAGACATAACAATTGGAATAATGGAAAATATGATAAAATCATTTATATTTTTTTTTTACCCTCCATCATGGTGTGGAGGTTTGTCATCCCGATTTCGTTTTTTGATGATTTTAGCGACACTATTCACCGGAATTGCATTAAATTTCGTATTTGAAGTTCCTAATGAGAACTTCCGTCTGTAACAGACAATTTTCTATGAAAGTCCCCAATTTAAGGGTAGCTGCCTACATTCGGTATATTTATAATTGATATTTTTTTATACCCTCCACCATACTATGGAGGGTATATTAACTTTGTCATTCCGTTTGTAACTCCTCGAAATACTCATGTCAGACCCAACAAAGTATATATATTATTGATCAGCGTAAAATTCTAAGTCGATTTAGCCATATCCGTCTGTCTGTCTGTCTGCCTGTCTGTCTGTCTGTCCGTCTGTCTGTTGTAATCACGCTATCTTTCGAACGAATTGAGATAGAAGGCTAAAATTTTCCACACGCGTTTATTTTTCCAGTAGGCAGGTTAAGTTCGTAAATGGGCCATATAGGTCCATGTTTTCATATAGCCCCCATATAACGGTACCTCCCGATATTCGGTATTTTGATGATTTTAGCGACATTATTCACCGGAATTGTTTCAACTTTGGTATTTCAAGTTCGAAATGGATACTACAGCCTATGACAAAAAATTATCTTGGCAGGTCCACGTCTTCGTATAGCCCCCATATAACGGTACCTCCCTATATTCGGTATTTTGATTATTTTTGCGGCATTATTCACCGGAATTATTTCAAATTTGGTATTTAGAGTTCGTAATGGGAACTACAGTCTGTGACAGCAAAATGTCTATGCAGGTCCAGGTTTTCCTATAGCTCCCATATAACGGTACCTCCCAAAATTCGGTATTTTGAAGAGTTTAGGTACAATACCCACCGAAATGGTTTGAGATATCGTATTTGACTTTAGTAATGGATGCAATAGCCTGTGACAGAAAATTGTCTATGCTGGTCCAGGTCTTCGCACAGCTCCAATTTAACGGCACCTCCCTATCTGCGATATTTTGATGATTTTAGCTACATTATTCACCGATTATTTCAAGTTTCGAATTTGAATATGGTAATGGCTAATGGCAAACAATGCTAATGTAGGTCCACGTCGTATAGTCCCCAATATAACGGCAATATTCGGTATTTTTAAAATTTAACAGAATTTTTTAAGGATTTTTTTTTAAATTTCCAAATTCGTTCCAAGTGGTGGAGGGTATTCAAAGTTCGGCCCGGCCGAACTTACTGCTTTTCAACTTGCAAATTGATTCCAATTGAAAATCTAAATTTCGGCCTGGCCGAACCTACTGATTTTTCACTTGTTTTTACTAAAAGTTTCTTTTGTGGATGTAAGTGAAAAAAATATTCATATTATTCGGAATTTATGCAAAATCGGTCGGTAAAAAATTAAAATTGACCCGCTATGAGGTAGATTCCGAAGGAATGGACAAGTATTGTCCATTTCGTATCGGCCCTAAAAAAATATGATATAAATATTGCGACGTGCCAGGTTTGGACTATATCGACTACTTCCTTCACTTTATATGAGATATTTGATAATTTTTAGAAAATCTTAAAATGTGAGTGAGGTACCAGATACAGTCGAACGAAGTATTCCATTTTCATACTTCATCTAATACAGATAAAAATATTGGTATGGGCAAAATTACAAAAAAAATCTAACATTTATATCCAATTTTATACGAAATAATAAATTCCGATAAATTCCATATTTGCCTCAGGTTTCTTCTTGAGAAAAATATCTAAAAAAAAATATTTAGGTATAGCAAGATGTAAAGTATCGCTGTCTTGTTTCGCAAGTTATGACATATAAAAGTATTGAAAATTTTGACCCTTTGTGGGTGAGATACCAGAAGGGGTTCCCAGATATGTATCACCTTTATAACAGTTCTCGTGTTAGCAAAAATGTTTGTATGTATGAAACTTGAAGAGAGTTGGATGCTTATTTCGCTTTCTTTGAGCGTTTTGTTTTTCCAAATCTTCAACCCTATATGGTGGAGGCCCCAAAAGAAATGGTCCGATCTCCTTTACAAAAGATCTTGTGCTGATGGAAATTTTGGAATCAGATTGGAATCAGCATTTTATAAGCTTCATGGATATTCAAAATTTTGACGCTTTGTGGGTGAGGTACAAGAATGAGTAGGCCGATATATCCCTTCCTCACAGCAGATCTTCTGCTACTAGGAATAATGGGATGTGTGAAATATGAAGAGAATCGCTTATTTCGGATTTTAAAATCGTTTTGGTTATTCAAAACGTTAAACCTTTGTGGGGGAGGTACCAGAAGGAATCTATACCATCTTTATAACAAATTTTATGTTGGTATTAAGATATGCCAAGTCTGAATGGAATCAGATGTTAATTTCGAATTTTATGAGCTTCATGGATACTCAAAATGTTGACCCTTTGTGGGGGAAGTACCAGAATGAGTATACCGACATATCACATCTTCACAGCAGATCTTGTGTTAGTATAAATAATGGAATATCTGAAATATGAACAGAACCGGATGCTTATTTCGGATTTTATAAACGTTTTGGTTATTCAAAACTTTGAACCTTTGTAGGGGAGGTACCAGAAGAAATGGTCTGATCTCTGCAATCTCTATAATAGATTTTGTGTTGATGGAAATATTGAGATGTAAAAATTCTGAATGGAATCGGATGTAAGTTTCGCATTTTATGAGCTTCATGGATATTCAAAATATTGACCCTTTGTGTGGGATGGCCAGAAGGAGTGAACCGATAAATTCCGTCTTACTGCCAGATCTTGGGTTCATAAAAATAGTACGATGTGTGAAATTTGAGTACGATCGGGCTCTTACATCATATTTTATAAGAGTTATAATTATTCAAAAGTTTGACCCTTTGTGGGAGAGGCACTTGATGGAGTGGACCGATATTATCCATTTTTGCACCTGACCTAGAAAATGAGCATATATTAGGATTTGAAAAGTAAGAGCAAAATTAGATTATTGCTTCCCTTTCTTTGCAGGAAATATTTTTATTTATTAATTTATTATTTATTTATTTATTTTTTTTTTTTGAAAATTTTGACCTTTTGTGAGATATTACCAGAAGGAGTCGATCGGTATATTTCATCTTCACATCAGACTTTGTGTTAATAAAAATATAGTGATCTGTGTAATTTGAAGACAATCAGTCTGTTACATCACATATTATAAGAGTTATAATTATTCAAAAATTGGACCCCTTTGTGGGAGAGGTACTTCATTGAGTGGAGGGATATTGTCCATTTTCACACCTGACCTAGCACTGATGCAAATATTAAGATTTGCAAAGTTGGAGAAAAATCGGATTATTCATTCTCTTTCTGGGCAGTGAAATTCTTTTTTTGAAAATGTGAACCTTTTGTGGACCCAACTCCGAACTCGACCTAAGTTTTATAATAATATTACGATCTACCAAGTTTGGAACAAATCGGATACTCCCTTCGAGAGTTATCGTGCGCACCAGTCAGACAGACAGACGGACGGACAGACATCGCTGGATCGACTACAAATGTCCTGAAACGGACTTGGTCTAAAGAGATCTAGGGTCTAAAACCGTTATTTCGATGAGGCACGTTTTATCAAATGATATATACCCTCACTAACCATATGGCTGAGGGTATAAAAACGAAGTCTTTGAATTTCATTTTTTTTCAAATGCAATGATTTCAATCACAATCATAAAATTGAAATTTCAAAAAAGAAAATGCTGACCAAAATTATTTTAAATTCTAGACACCAACAGTGACCTTAATGTCGAATTCCATTCACTTAACGGCAAATTTAGTACTATTTGTATTTTTCGGCGGAATCATAGTACGCATTCCCAAATCCACGTCATGCTCTTAAAACTATATACCTACAGTGGCCACCATATCAAATTTCAGAATTTCAGCTCTATTCTAAGATGCAATGCCAAGTTTATTACCATACTTTTCGTACAGCTATACTATGCTTGTCGAACACCACCCCCTTCTCTCCACTCTGGACAACAACAGCGACCTCTATATGAAATTTCAGAATACCATTTCTAACCCTTCACCCAATACCAAACATAGTACCATTTAGTACATTTCGTACAATTCTAGTGCACATATCCGAAACCAACTACATATGCCCAGATTACACATGAAAAGCGACCCTAATACCAGATTTTAGATTTCAAGCTCTTTTTTACCAAATGGTACCAAATATCGCACTATTTAGTTGTTGTTGTAGCGGTAATACATGGAGATGTTTGGATTCCGCTAGTCTGGTTCAGGCTCTAGTTTTAAAAATTTGGCTACCTTAACCAGAGATCTTCTGGAGTGAGTTGGCTAGTTTTGGGGGTACAATTAAAGAGGTGCAGCGTAATGCACGGGCAGGAATCACACGCCGCACACACGCAGACGTCACGCACATCTTCGTCAATTCGTTCCCAATACGAATTGAGAAGACTGCACCATTCTGAACGTAATTGCGCTAAAATATACCCTGGCAGCTGACGTTTTTCAGCTGTAATGGATGTGGATGGACTCCGAGGACGAAATTCATCCTGTAATTGTTGATGGCATCTGTGACTGCATCATTATGAATGTCACTTAGACCTGCCTGATAGGCTTCTTGGTCAATGATAATGCAGACGTAAGGGAAGAACTTTCGCCTCCTCATGTAGATGGTCCACTGGAGTCAGGACAGCATTCTGGCAGGTCTGGATGTGTTTCCACTGCGTTGCACTAATTTTCCCAGACCACACTGGAGCCGCATAGCCGACCACAAACCGACCGAGATCAACATGGTTTCCTTGTTCACACCCCAAGTGCTGCCGCCTAGCGCCTTGAAGACCTACTTCCTACCTACGTCCTACTTTCCATCTTGTCGCAGATAGCTGTGGCTTGCGTGGACGACTTGAACACGCTATCGAATGTGACCCCTACGATCTTGGGGTATTAAATTTCCCTCGACCTTCACATTCAGCTGTGTTACTTTTATTTTTTAGTACTTTTCGTGCACGTGTAGTACACATTACCAAAACGACCTCTTTGTCACAAACCTTCCACTAAATACCTAATAGTACTATTTTAGAAGTTGAGTACCATTTTCGAACTAACCGTAACACTAAAAATTCGAATTTCCGAAAATCCTTTGATACATCCATTTGCACTCTATCCGTGTCTCTTATTCCAAATTTCAGCTCATATTCAATTCTTGGTACTTTTTTGTACTTTTCGTACCCTTTTAGTACGAATTTCCAAAAAACTCAGCCTCATCACACGCCTACGCACCATGACTGGCCGTCGTGCGAAATTTCAAGATTCTAGTTTCGCCTGGCCATTGATTCTCAATCAGCTTTCTTCCCGGTTTGAAACATTAATACTCTACTCTTTCTGTACATCGATTATGCTATGCAATAATTTATTTACCTAAATTAAAAAAAAATATCCAAAGCACGTAGTTGAATTTTTTATACTCGTTTATAACCAAAACAAATAAATAAAGTTCGGCTGGGTCGAACTTATTGTGGATTTAAACAAGATACACACTATTCAGACAAAGCTCTTCGTCTAATAATGTGAATTGCATATTGATTTCAAGAGACAGACGTACACCGTTAAATCGACTGCAAATTTTATGCTGATCATGAATATATATATTTTATATCGTCTTCGACGAATATTTAGGAGTGTGTTAAAAATGGGGGAAAATTTCCTCGAAAAAAATTTTTGTTTTGATGGAAATTGATGAATGAAAAAGAGAAGAAAATCATCCGATCCTAAGCAAAACTTTTTCTACAGAAAAACATTTTTCAGGTTAACAGGGAAAAGGCGTTTTTCCTAGATGGAAAAATTCCTCAGAGCCCAAATAAGTAATTTTCCATTAGAAACCAACTCTTCAGAGCCTCAACGAAGATATTTTCCTATGAGAAATATTGCTGAGGCCCTGAAGAAGACCTATTTCGCATAGACAAAATTTCCTCAAAGGCTTAAGAAGATTTTGTCCCATTAAAAAAATACTTGTAGTCCTTCTTTGAATGTCGTTGAAAATTCCATGTTTTCCGCTCAAATAACCTTCTATGGCATATTTTAACAAATCCACAACTTCACATTTTTTCACACCACATTCACTTTTCCAACTTACCTCCATTGTAATGCTCTCATATCCCGCCTCCTTTTTGTAAATCCATTCTCGACACAGCAAACCATCCGCTGCCACTGCGCTACCATTTCCATCCACACTATCCAACATGGTACAGTGAGGACTTTGCAACTGTTGATATATATCGTGGATCTCGTCAAATGATTTATTCTCCATTTGCGGATGATAGCACCAATGTTCCGGCGTGAAACTAATCAATGTCTGAGAGAAGTAGTGCATCGATGACATGATGTTTGTATAACCGAATAGCAAAAGGACCACCCATTGGTATGGACCGAAATTGCCACATTTTTCAAGGACCCGATCGAAATCCATGGCGACAGATTTTCTATGTCGTTAACTTTCTCTCTCTTTGTTACGAATGTGTACGTCTTTCTGGTAGGACACCACTTGAAATTAGCGATTTTTAAATATTCCGATGTTCCGTCACATCTCCAAACAAATTCTAATTTCACAATCTGCCTGCCATCCGCAGTTGTCGACTGGTTTTAAAATCACAAAACGTCTAATAAAGTGGCCGTAAATAGTCGCTGGCGTCGTCAAATGTTTATTATCCAAACGGTTGTTGTTGTTGTTTATCTCTCGGCTATGGGCTATGAGAGTATTAGTTAATTATCGCACCCTTCTGCCGCGAATGGGAGTATTTTGCGATTTTCGTATGACGTTGGCATTTGTCTTCTTCTTTTTTTGTTTTTTTTTTGGTAGTTCCAACATAGCGGAAGTTCTTGCAGATCCATATCTTCATTTAGTTTGGTGATAAGCATCTGCATGTGGCCATCCAGATCACTATCAAAGAAGATGTATGTCAGTAGTTCTTATCACACGGTGAGCTATTTCCTGCAGTAGCAGACTTCCTCTCAATTCCATGCGAACGGTACTCCAAAGTCGCCCCCCATCAGACTTGTGCCGACTTTTATTTGTTTTATTTAGCTGAAGCGTCGGATGAAAAGTTTAAACATTTCTTTTATTGGTAACTATAAATATAATGGTGGCGCACAGTGGGACGGAGGGTTAAAATGGTTGTTAATTTTTTTTTAGTGCTAAACTTTTTTCTACACCGAAATATTCTCAGATCCTTTATCTATTCGCAGGTCCTGGGGAAAGACTTATTCCTTTGGGAAAAAGCTTGCAAGGACTGATGAAGAATTTTTTCAATTCTGTTTCTTCTGGAAAAAAAACCTTCAGCCCTAAAGAAAACGTTTTCCTGTAGCCAAAAATTTCTAAGGTACTGATAAAGACTTTTACCCTTTAGCCAGAAATCCTCAGGCACGGAGGAGGACTTTTTCCTACAAAAGAAAAAAATCCATTTAGGAAAACATTTCTCTGAAGCCAAAATTTTTCCAGGCACTGAGAAGGACTTTTGTCTTTAGGAAAAAATTTCTCAGACACTGAGAAGGACTTTTGTTTTTAGAAAAAATTATTCAGGCATTGAAGAAGCCTTTTTTTATAGGAAAAAATGGCTCCGGCCCTGAGGAAGAATTTTTCCTATAGGAAAAAATGTGTCAGGCCCTGACGAAGAATTTTTCCAATAGAAAAAATCCTTAGGCCCTGAGTAAGTCTTTCTCCTTTAGAAAAATTCTTCGTATAGGAAAAAAAAACCTCAGGCACTAAGGTAGATTTTCCTAATTGAAAAAATTCCTCAGGTCCCTGAGGAAGGCTTTTCCGTATAGGAAAAAATTCCTCAGGCCCTGAGGAAGGCTTTTCCGTATAGGAAAAAAATTCCTCAGGCCCTGAGGAAGATTTTTCCGTATAGGAAAAAATTCCTCATGCTCTAAGGAAAATTTTTCCGTATAGGAAAAAATTCCTCAGGCCCTGAGGAAGACTTTTCCGTATAGGAAAAAAAACCCCAGGCACTGAGGAAGACTTTTCCGTATAGGAAAAAAATTCCTCAGGCCCTGAGGAAGATTTTTCCGTATAGGAAAAAATTCCTCATGCTCTAAGGAAAATTTTTCCGTATAGGAAAAAATTCCTCAGGCCCTGAGGAAGACTTTTCCGTATAGGAAAAAAATCCCCAGGCACTGAGGAAGACTTTTCCGTATAGGAAAAAAATTCCTCAGGCCCTGAGGAAGATTTTTCCGTATAGGAAAAAATTCCTCATGCTCTAAGGAAAAATTTTCCGTATAGGAAAAAATTCCTCATGCTCTGAGGAAGATTTTTCCTCATGCCCTGAGGAAGATTTTTCCGCAAAGGAAAAAATCCTCAGGCCCTGTGGAAGATTTTTCCGTATAGGAAAAAATTCCTCAGGCCCTGAGGAAGATTTTTCCATATAGGAAAAAATTCCTCAGGCCCTGAGGAAGATTTTTCCGTATAGGAAAAATTCCTCAGGCCCTGAGGAAGATTTTTCCGTATAGGAAAAATTCCTCAGGCCCTGAGGATTTTTTTCCTTTGCGGTCTTGAGCAAGACTTTTCCGTATAGGAAAAAATTCCTCAGGTCCTGAGCAAGACTTTTCCGCATAGGAAAAAATTCTTCAGTCCTGAGGAAGACTTTTCCGTATAGGAAAAAAATCCTAGGTTCTGAGCATGTGGTTTATAATCCGTATTATCTTACTCAGAATCAGGAAAATTTTTAATTTTTATAATAATTTATTTTAATTGTTTTAAGAGAGTCTCTCTCTCTCTCCCAAAACATATTCGCAAAATAATTAATTGCTCCCACTGTGCTCCCCTATAAGATTCTGCTAAATATAATATCTCCTTTATCGCACAAAGACATTGTGTTTCAAATTTTATTGCGATAAAAAGACGATTATTATGAGTGTTTTGTGATATCTGACAAAATTGGCTGCAATATGTTTGTGGTATTTGCACAGGGCAAATATTGTCTTTAGAGTCAGTGGAAATTTATTAGAGTCGCACAATAAAATTGGCGTGATTAGTGATGAAATTCCCCCCAAAAACAGTAGGGGACAATTAGTGTTATTTTGTAGATCAACTTTATAACGAAATAAAGAAAAGAAAAACATTCCGAAATTGTTTGCCATCTGAAATGTGAACAAATATATGCGAGATTTGACGACACCGAAATCCAAATATGTGCTTAGATTGGCAACTAATTAGTTTGGGGAACTACATTATTTATTTAAATTTTATGCCTTTTGATATGAAACTTATGTTTTTGTTTACACAGAAAAACACAGGTGGTTAGAAATGAATAGCAAAATAAATATCATGTTTATAGTTCGATAATTAATATTTCAAATTATAATATTTTCCTATGGCTAGCAGCTCAGACTGAGATAAACTTGTTATGATCTGACTAATCCGGCACAGTGATGTTAGAGGTCCAGTTAAATCAGGCCCAAACACTACATATCAACATTACATCTCTTCTGAGAATATGTAACATATTGAAAATATATATTAATAATTTATTTAATAATTTTATATGACGTTTTGTAAAAATTGCAAAACTATGAGATTCTTGCAGGTTCTGAAACAAAGAAAATGTATTTTTACATTTGTTTAATGTGAAAACTATGTCTGCATCCTATTAAAAAAAAAAAAAAAAAAAAAAAAAAAAAAACAGTAAAGAAAGTCTTAAAGTCGGGCGGGGCCGACTTTATGATACCCTACATCACTTTGCTAATTTAGTAGAGCTCCGCATAACAATTAAAAGTTTTTACGGGAGAATACAATCATACACGCAATGATTATAATTATAATTTAAAGTTCGAAGCATTTGTATCTCTTAAATTCGGACTTGTATTGCCCATTTGGTGCACAATTAATTTGAAATCGGATAATATATATGGGAGCTATATCCAAATCGGAACCGATCTCGATAAAATTTGGCAAAGATATTTCTGAGCTGTATTTCATATATTTCCCTGAATATCGTTGTTACGGAGTGCATATTACGGCTGTGGGTAACTAATATGACAAATCGGATGAACAATATATATGGGAGCTATAGCTATATCTGAAGCGATCTTCACCAAATTTGACATACTGGCTTCTAGACTCAATTTGGTCGTAAGTGCCAAATCTCATCCCATTTGGACAAATATTAGACGTTTGGTGCACAATCAAAGGTGAATCGGACGAAGTTATATATCTGAACCGATCTCGATAAAATTTAGCAAAGGTATTTCTGAACTGCATTTGATATATTTCCCCAAATATTGTTGTTACAGAGGGCATATTACCGCTGCGGAGGACAAAAATAACAAATCAGATGAATAATATATATGGGAGCTATAGCTATATCTGAACCGATTTCGATCAAATTTGGCATACTTATTTTCAGGTCCCATCTGATCGTACGTGCAAAATTTCATACTATTCGGACTGATATTACACGTTTGGTGCACAATAAAATTAAATTTTGACCGATTATCTCCAATTTCAATAGGGTTCGTCCTTTGGGCCAAACAAACGATTTGTGCAAAATTTCATCTGGATAGGGCAATAAATGCGAACTGTACTTTGTTTGCAAAAATACATGGTCAGACGGACGGACATGCATAAATCGACTCAGAATGTGATTCTATGCAGATCATCAATAGGAACTATGGGTCTATCTCGTTTCCTTTTGCCTGTTACAAACAAATGCACAAAGACATAATACCCTGACCACCTTGTGGTGTAGGGTATAAATAGTACGGTTACCGGATTTAGTGTAACTAGTGGATTACAACTGCCAATTCGGTTGCATATACCTAAAGGGATGTAAGTGCATAGCAAAACTAAATGAAGGTAACCTCTATGGACAATTTTAAACTTCAATTATTGTCATCTACTAAATCTTCTTCTCGCATAGACTTCAGTCTCGAGTACAAAGGCCACCCGCCCAGGCCTATTAAAATCGGGATGTGCCAAAGGAAGACCAAGAAAAAAGTCTTTTATGCGATTCTGGGACTGTCGCTGTAGGCGTACGCGCTTGGTCCAAATGGATCACCACTGCCACAATTGAAATGGCTGACACCGGTCGTAAATAGAGGTGACAGTAAGCTTACATATTTGGATACCATCGATTCGCGAAGTAGGGATACGAAGACTATACACTAGAGAGGAGCATATCTGACTCTGCCTACTAGATTGGACCAACACCGACCTCACCATAGAGGGACGGTAAAAACATTAACTTTGACTAACAAAGTTAGGGAAAGGCAGATACCAGACTGGAGGGACAACAGACCGACCAGTCCTATCTGTGGGAGGGGGGAAGCATTCGCAGTCGGACGATAGTAAGGACTATGACGCGAACGGTGCCTATAATACGTATGCGGACGACTCCGACTATTACTTGTGGGTTTCACCACATACGGCACACTATATTTTACTTTGGCAGTTCCTGGATTGGTGGGTTTCGCTAAACACCGTATGTCAATATACATGACGCGGAAGTCACTACACCTGTCCAACGGGTACATACGATCACAAAGACGACATTTGTGGGAGGCCACAGATGAATCCCGAGAGGATTTGGCGACTCCTCCAACGACTGAGGAGTGACAACTGGAGAAGCAGCAGAACCCGAAGATAAGGATTCGAACTCAGTTTGTA